CCCATTTTCCGCAAACAAAGCAGCCCTTCCCTTCCCGAGGCAATCGCCGCAGGGACGAAAGCGAAAGGGTTTTCAGGACGAAAATGCTCTCACTCTTATCGGACCGTTTGCTGAATGGAAACGATCACAGCTGGGGGCGGGGGGGGGGCACAGCCTCCGGGCTCCTCGCATCCGCCCAGAGGCCGGAACCTGGGCCAAAAGCGGGGACACGGCGGCCGGTGGGAGGGAGACAGTAGCCGGGAAGGAGGTGCTAACAGAGAGGCTGCCAGCGCCCCACCCCCACCGGGACCTGTCACTCCTGAGCCGACCCACCCAGCAGCTCACAACTATCTACTTGCTCAACCCCAAGAGGCCGCCGGGAGCAAAAACTGTTATTTCTAAAAAACTGGAAAACATAAAATCCCAACACACATTCTATCTTATTTGTTGGAGGGAGGCAAGGCGGGGGCAAATGGGGGACATCTGGAATCATGTCAACAATAAAAATAAAATCATGATAATAAAGAATAAATAAAATTTTTAAAAATTAGGTTTTTTCAATGTTACTGTTACATAATACAATATACAGATGACATATTAACGAATTGTACAGCTAAAACCTATGTAATTTTGTTGACCACTATCACCCCAATAAAGTCAATGAAAGAATTTAAAATAAAATAAAAACATAAAATTCCAACACACCTTCTCTTTATCCTGCCCAATATTTCTTGAAACAATTCATTTAGGAAAAACAGCAAAAAATATTAAATCAACAGCTGTCACATATTTAGCTGGGATGAAAAACGATTGCCTGTTTTATTTCATTTATATGTTTATTGGTTTAATCTATTATTTATTCATTTCTACACCCAACCTGCTGCATTCAAAATCATCCTTCCATACTTTGGCAGTTCACACGCAAAAGTTTTCACTTTATTCTCAAGAAAAATTATACACTGACTAGAGGTCCGGTGCACAAAAATTTGTGCACTCGGGGGTAGGGGGTCCCTTAGCCCGGCCTGTGCCCTCTCGCAGTCTGGGACCCCTCGGGGGATGACCACCTGCTGGCTTAGGCCTGCTTCCCGGGGGAATTGGGCCTAAGATGGCAATCAGACATCCCTCTGGCAGCCCAGCAGCCCTCAGGGGATGTCCACTTGCCAGCGGGGAGCAGGCCTAAGCTGCAGTCGGACATCCTTAGCGCTGCTGAGGAGGCAGGAGAGGCTCCCACCACCACTGCTGTACTGGCAGCCATCAGCCTGGCTTGTGGCTGAGCAGAGCTCCCCAATGTGGGAGCACACTGACCACCAGAGGGCAGTTCCTGCATTGAGCATCTACGCCCTGGTGGTCAGTGTGTGTCATAGTGACCAGTCATTCCCAGTCCTTCTGCTGTTAGGGTCAGTTTGCATATTACCCTTTTACTATATAGGATAGAGGCCTGGTGCACGGGTGGGGGCCGGCTGGTTTGCCCTGAAGGGTGTCCCAGATCAGGGTAAGGGTCCCGCTTGGGTGCCTGGGCATCCTGGATGAGGGGCTGATGGCTGTTTGCAGCTGGTCACACCCCCTTCAGGATGCGGGTCCCCACTGGGGTGCTTGGCCAGTCTGGGTGAGGGGCTGAGGGCCGTTTTCAGGCTGGCCGGCCACTGAAGCTCCCAGCCTCTGTTATTTCCCTTTTTTGTTTATTCTGGGATTTGTTTACCTTCTATAGCTGTCACTGGAGCTGAGAGCCGGCTACAGCTCTGAGGCCCAGCTCCAGCTCTGAGGCCCTGGCCGGCTGAAAGCAGGTATCTGGGGTTTGCTTAGCTTCTATAATTGAAACATTGTTGCTTCCGGAGCTCAGAGCTGGGCCACGGCAGGCGGGGAACCTTTGCTTCTTCCATCACTGGAGCAAGCAAGCCTCATGTTTGCTTCAGCTGCGTGGCTGCCGGCCACCATCTTTGCTGGCAGTTAATTTGCATATCCTGCTGATTAGCCCATGGGAAGCATAGCGGACGCATGGTTAATTACCATGTTTGTCTATATTAGAAGGATATGAGATGCATCAAAAACTATTTAACCCTAATCAAGAAAGTTAAGCTGTTTAAATCATTAAAAAAAGACATAGAAAGCTTAGGCCTCAGGAAAACAGCTGAGTGCTTAGTGAGCCCTCATCAGAACAGGCTCACAGCCCACTGGTTAAGGACTCCTTCCTGTTCAGAAGCCTGGTTTCACCACCAGCCCGCAGCCATCCAGCCAGAGGGCAGTTCTGAAAAGCAGTTAACACGCAAGGCCTGGTTTGCCACCTCAGCTGTGTGAGCTCCAATCAGTTGCTTAACTTCTCTGTTCCAATACTGTCCTCTAGCAACAGAGGGAATAACAGTATCTTCCTCCCCGGGGTATCGGGGGGATGAGCCGAGCTACCATGGAACAGTGCCCACTACATACAGGGCACTGAACGGTATTCGCTCTCGTTTATTATTTACTTTTTAACTAGAGGCCGGATGCACGAAATTCGTGCAAGAGTAGGCCTTCCTTCCCCAGGCTGCGGGCACCCAGGACCCGGGCTTCCCTCGCAGCCTCAGCTTCATCCGGAAGGACGTCCAGTCTAATCAGCATAGGCCACTTTTATTATTATCGATACTTTTTTATTGATTTTTAGACAGAGAGAAAGGGAGAAGGGGGAGAGAGAGAAACATCAATGATGAGAGAGAATCCTGGATCGGCTGCCTCCTGCATGCCCCCTACTGGGGGTGAAGCCCACAACCCAGGCCTGTGCCCTGACCGGAAATCGAACTGGGACCTCCTGGTTCGTGGGCCGACGCTCAACCTACTGGGCTACACAAGCCGGGCTCCTCACTTATTAATAACACGCAGTTAGGGCCCCGTCTCCAAGACTCCTTGGCTCAACTTAAAGCTTTTGCTTCCAAATATCCTAAGCGAGAAATTTAATTCACAAAAGGCGATCTTAGTTACGGACTTGGGCTGCCTGACAGAACAACCAGATAGATAAAATGTGAACAAGCAGAAGCGATGGAGTGCAGGACCCACGGGCGCCCGGCCCAGGGGAAGGAACAGGAACCTAAGGCTGCAGTGCAGCCCGGCCCATCGGACCCCAAACATCTGCGGCCTGGCCCCGCCCTCCGTCACACACTGACACCCGACAGGGAACGGGGACAGCGGCGCCCGTCCCTACATCAACTTGTGTGTCCGGGCGTCTCAGCGCCTCCTCTTCTGCACAAAGAACTGTGGAGTCAGACAGACGCCCGGGGTCAGCGCACACACCCTGGCCTCTTCCTTCCTGCTCCCCCAACCTCATGACTCACTGCATTCAACACGGAAACGACTCAAAACCCACCAGGGAAGGAGGACCGGGCGATGACAGGGAGCACAGATGACCCAAGTCAGAAAGAATTCAGCAGTAAAGGACAGGAAGCATAGCTGTGCTCCCACCCACCCTGGAAATCGAGAATCCGCCTTTTTAGTCTCAGTAACAAAATAACTACATAAATGCCCTTCCAAATGTCTTCTCTCAGCATGGAAATACCTCTTTCTCTAGAGAGCCACTGGACCCACAAATAGAAGTAAAAGTCAGTAAGGGCCACGGCTTAACCTTCGGCAAATCCTTTTATATACGAATATACGAGAGACCCAGGGCACACGGTTTGCACAAGGGGCTCGGCTCTTGCAGCCCGGCTTCGTCCGGAAGGTCGTCTGGAAGGAGGTCCGGCTGTCCGGTCTAATTAGCATGTTATGCTTTTATTATTATAGATTTTTATTGATTGCAGAGATGAAGGGAGAGGGCAAGAGTTAGAAACATTCATGATGAGAGAGAACCATGGATCAGCTGCCTCCTGCCCGCCCCACACTGGGGATCAAGCCCGCAACCCGGGCCTGTGCCCTGACCGGGAATCGAAACCTGACCTCCTGGTTCATAGGTCGACGCTCAACTGCTGAGCCACGCTAAGAGGCTCACTTCTAACCAAAGCTGGGCACGAGGCGCAGAAGCTCACGGCAGAAACCACGAGTCACAGACCACGGAGCTGACCCAACCGCACGGCGAGAGGGGATGAGTCGGACTTCACCCAGTGACAGCTGTGCCTGCCTCCGGCCTACGGGCTTGTCAGCGAGGCTGCCTTTGGGTTCTGAGAATTATTTAGCGACATCTCCCAAGTGGAACTCCTGGGCCCTGTGGAGGGGGCATCCGCCACATCCAGCTGCAGAGGCGGCTGGGATGCGGGAGGTGAAAATGAAAAGCTCTCACCTTGCTGCTGAGGTCCGTGTCATCCGAGGACTCGGGGTCCAGCCCCTCGGCTTCCTCAGGGGCGGGCTCCGCACCGCTGCCCTGCGCACCGCCCAGGCCGGGCCCTGTGGGACGGAAGCAGAAGGGATGTGGGGGGACGGGGCAGTGACCCCCACAGGTCAGCCCGTGAGGGGCGGGCGCCACTCCCAGAGAGAACACATCGTCACACCCGCCCAGTGCCAGTTCCACGCCCGCAGCTCAGGGTTAGTTTTCATCATTTGTGTTGGTGCTGCCACCGTCACTGTTTAACAGGATGGCGTGTTTTTGTTACTTATCCTATCTAATAAAAGCCTAATAGGCAAATCGACTGAACGGCGGAACTACCGGTGGGCAGGGGGCGGGGCCAGCGAACGGGTGGCGCCAGGCCAGTCAAGGCGGGTGGCAGCGGGCAGAGGGAGGGGACAGCGATCTGGGGATGAGCCTAAGCCATCAGTGGGACATCCAAGGGCTCCCGGACTGCAAGAGGGCGCAGGCTGGGCTGAGGAACCGCATGAATTTTCATGCACCGGGCCTCTAGTAGACCATAGTGATAGTTATGGGGCCCCCCAAATCCATGCTGAAGCTCTACGAGTAGCTGGTGGCCTGGGTCGTGGCCCCATCCCGACTGAGCATTAGAATCACCAGGAGTTTCAGGACCACCCAGCTGTACCCCCCTCTCCCCCCGCCCCCGGGACTGTGAAGGGCCGGCTCTGCCTGGGACTGAGCCTCACCCCTCCCACCTGGGAAGGAGGTAAACCCATCAGACAACTTGCTGGCTGCAGGCTGAACGGAGACGGGGCTGTGAGTCAAAAAGGAGCCACAGCCTGGCCTGTGCGCTCAGTGGTTAGAGCACCAGCCTGCGGACCGAAGGGTCGTGGGTTCAATTCCTGGTCAAGGGCACGTACCTAGGTTACAGGTCCCCTCCCTGGCTCAGGGAGGGGCAAGTGGGGAGGCAACCAATCGATGTGTCTCTCTCAGAGCGATACTTCTCTCTCTGTCTCTCTTTCTCTCTCCCCCCACCAACACCCTTCTGCTTTTTTTTATATATTTTTATTGATTTCAGAGAGGAAGGGAGAGGGAGAGAGAGAAACACCAATGATGAGAATCACTGATCAGCTGCCTCTTGCACGCCCCCCTGGAGATGGAGCCCGCACCCCAGGCCTGTGTCCTTGTCCAGAATCGAACCTGGGACTCTTCAGTCCACAGGCTGATGCTCTATCCACTGAGCCAAACCGGCCAGGGCTCTTCGCTCTTAAAAAGAACAAAATCAATGGAAAAGATATCCTCCAGTAAGAAAAAAGGAGCGGTCTCGGGTTACCGGGCAGAGCCTGCCCGTCCCAGAGGCGCTTCTGGGTCACACCCGCCCCGAGCGCTGCTCACACGGGCCAGACAGGCTCCGGGAGGATTCAGCCCAGGGCCTCCCTCTGCTGTCCATCCTGTGCACGCACCTGCCTTCCCCCTCTCCCGGCCAGCGGGGACCAGGGAGCGGC